ATATATTGTGTTAATTCCTGCAACCAAAATCCACCATCACTATCCAACCAAAATCACAAAATCTTGAACTTACAGGCTTTGGGGCTGTCACAATTAATAATTTGTTCAGTTTTTAAAACAACTGCTAAACAAAGGAGCTTTACTACTATAATAGGCAAGCCAGTAAACCTTTCTCAACGGAGGACAGCTAGGCAAGCTCTAGCGGGAGGAACAAGGGCGTGGTGTGGATGGGGAACCGATAAACATTGGAGAAAGATTAAAATCAAATAAGTGCTGACAGGCCAAGATAAAAGTTCAAATCAAATAGTAATTTTTTTTTATTAATTAAAAATATTTGCATAATAAAGTTTAAAAGGAAAATTAGTAGTTTAACATTAAAATTTAAATATACATACATTTAGACTTAAAACTCTTAAATTAATACAATAATTTAATTGGAAAATCTACAATATAATGAAAATATATTTTGTAAAAATGAGCATAAATTTAAGGTGGTTTTGATTTTTATTTGAACAAATACAATCAACAATATTGTTTTAAAACTTTGATTGCTAATAATTAACATTGTTATTGAAAAAAAATCAATAATACAATTTTATATATTTATAAATGTGATTTACTAAACTAATTAAAGCCATTATGTGTGGCATTATATAAATTCTTTCAATAATTTAAGTTCATTGCTGTTAAATTATAACAGACATAACTCACACCTCAATAATGAAATATTGATAGGTTTCTTTTACCAATAACAAAGTTGAAACGATTAATAGCGATTGTTATTCAATTTCTTATGTGATGTAGGGAAGCGTACGAGTGGGAAGAATAAACGAGATACTCTCTCGTAAAACACACAAAACTCACTATATCAGATTTATTCTCAAAATTCACCACCCCATAAGAAAGCAGAAGAGCCCTTTAAATAAGGCCCTCAATCTAAAACTCTAACTTATTTCCCAAGCTAACTACTACTACTACTACTAATAATAATAATAATAATAATAATAATAATAATAATAATAATAATAATAATTTGCATCATAATTATTCTACACCATTCTCCCCCAGTTAGGAAGGCTTCACCTTCGAAGCCGGTGCGCTCCTGTGGCCGGCGTGTGGTGTGGAACTCATGGTAAGAAACCCCGTCGTTTCCCCCGGTCGAACACGAAAGTTGAACGTCGTCCAACCAATGCAACATTCTCTTTATTTTCATCAAACAGGGATACGACTACAACTGTCTTACCACCATCAGCAACAAATACCAAGACTCTTAGGCACAACCAAGAGCGAGCACATCTGCCTTTAGGATCAGATCCCACACAAAAAACGTGATAACACATATCACATGAATCACAAACAATGGATGCATCAATATCTGAATATATATCAATTGATACCGATGCACTACGAATTTTGCAGTCATCTATATCCATACCGACAACTGCATTCTCATCGATTCCCATGTCCCTGCAAAGATTTTTCTTAGTTACCGGAGGCTCTTCAACTTGCTCAATGTCGAACGTGGGGATGTCAACGCTAAACGGGCCCTCCCATTGACCATATTCGCAATCAAGTCCCCAATTGCGTCGGGCACGATATCCACGGGCGAAGGCAGCCTCCTCACACCTGTCTATATCGTTGCGTTGATCATCGCCGTCCACAAAGATCGGACCCCGTTGCTGCATGTCACGGCCGCCGTATGCAGCGAAGGGGTTAGCCTCGACATGCAGGGGTGAAAAATCGTCGAAGGGATTCACCTCCGAGACTGTCTCCTCGCCGTCTTCGTCGCCGGACGGTGGTTGTGGAGATCCCTGGTGGGGCACCCCGCCTGGACCACGACCTCCACGTCCTTCACGAATTCCCCCGCACACGCCCCGGTTGCCAGCGTCACAGTATGTTTGCTTATCCCGAACCATCGTAAGGATAGTTAGACGTATGTCCTCGATCTCTGCGGACAGATCTGCAATTTGACGACCCATCATCTCGAGCTCGCAGCCAAACCACTCGGTCTGGCGGCTCAGGTTGTAGATGGCGGCGACACGCCTGTCATTTGCAGCATCTTGTCTTCGCGACAACATCGTGAATCGTGCTGACTTCTAATACCAACAGATGTAGGGAAGCACAGGAGTGGGAAGGATAAACGAGACACTCTCGCGTAAAACACACAATCACAATATCAGATTTATTCTCAAAATTCACCACCCCATGACAAAGAAGAAGAGCCTTTTAAATAAGGCCCTCAATCTAAAACCCTAACTTATTTCCCAAGCTAACTACTAATTATTAAATAATAATAATAATAATAATAATAATAATAATAATAATAATAATAATAATAATAATAATAAT